ATAATTATTTATTCTCAACCGCCAAGTATTCTTCACGCTTGAATTTCAAACTGCAACCAAATACCTAACCCTTAAGTAAACCCAAAAGATAGACATTAAAAAATTTTTCAAACAATAATGAGCTAAAACCATACAGCCCAAATTAGAATCAATAAAAACACAAATTAACTTACCTACAGAAATGATACACTTCACTACGAATCAGCTCACCCAATTATCTTTCACATTTCATTCGGAAAACATCATCACCTAGCAAATTAAAGACAGACATATATATTTATTCTTTATTGAAAAAAATTTACGTAAATATGAAAATTGTGAGATTGTTTCACCGACAGACGATCTTCAGATTATGGTTGAATCATAGTGCACTGTACTTCTGAAAGACTTCGAAGCAGCAGAAGTGTTCAGCCATAATCACGTACATTCTGATCGCCACGCTATCATCCAGGGCCATAATCTTGCATAATTTATCCGACACGACGTTCTCTGTCGTTCTTTCTTTTCACACTCAAGTATAGCAATTACGCCGACACTCAAAATAGCCAGCTGCCCACAAAGGAGTATGCGCGAAACGGAAAGGACACACTGGCAAAGGGTAACCGATGGATCAAAGTAAGTCGCGGACTTGGACACCTGTGATACAGATGATAAGCGAGGTTCTCGCGGGAACCGGCAATCGTGAACGCTCGGTCATTAACGAGTCAGAATGACTTCGAATAACAGGGACATAGCGGTGACCGTTACGGCTTTCTACTTGAAAATTATCGGCTTCTGGTTAGCTGACACTTACGAGGAGAAACGTCGAAGAAAATTCGCGCAGAATTTCACGATATTTATGCTGGTGTGCGCTGTGGTAATTGAGACGAGGGATATCTATTACACCTGGGGTGATTTCAGCGTAAGTATAGTTTCAATTATCGAACACCATTCGAGGATACGTGAGATGATTAGGGCAGAGCAGGGGAATTACGAACACCTAAGGAGAAAGTTGAATAAAAGAAAATGTTATAACGGTAATAACTTTGTTATCGTTTATACACAAAGGCGTATTATCTGGTTATATAGTTTTATAATCAGCATTAACAAGATTTAAAAATAAAACCAATTTTTAACCCCTTCACATATGACAACGCGTCAGACTCGTGGCAGAGATTCTAGCGAAGATGTGAGAAAAGAAGTTGTATTGGTAAGAAGAATTCATTGGAATCCTATTTTTCGTTTGAATTTACAAGATTGAGGGATTGCTAAGTGTCATTAATCTGTGACAGAGTAGTTTTTGTTACCTGATATAGTACTAAAACAGAAAATGGCTGACGCTTAGATGCATAGTCAGAAAGAAAATCATAGTTTAAGGGGTTAATAGAAAAGCCAAACCGTTGCTGTCCGTAATGTCCTAAATGTCGTTCGATAATTTTTTACCTGTGTGCGTGTCAACTATTTTTCGTTAGCGGCTTAGAATTGCATTCGGTACGAGCGATCATGTGGCAAATGGAGGAAATATTCATGGTTTCCTGACAGCATCGTATATGCGTATTCGCAATTAGTTCGTGTTTCCCTGACTCTTCCGTAATTGTGGGAATCAACGTTACGGACGTGGCGAAAATTTAGAAATTTGAAAAATACGAGACGGGTTTAACGTTCGAAGCATTCTTGTCGATGTAATGATTTTTATGCAAATTTACAGTTTTGAGGATATAGGAAAAAATGAAGAATTTCGGTAGAAAATTATTTCACCTAACAGGTATTATAAGAAGCACTACAATTTCGATATTTTTTCATATACCTGCATTCTGTGTAATTTTGTACCTTTAAATTTCCTGCAAATCCATAAAAATCCGCAGTTTATTTCATTGTCGCTGATGCTAGATAAAATGATCGATGCTTGCTTCGGTTTTGGAATAGCGATGAACAATTTGTAGTAGCTTTATAATAAAGTAAACTAATTATAAAAAAATTTTCGTAGTTTTTCGAAGTGAAAAAATTTGTGGTGCAATTTGAAGTGTCAACGAAATTAATAGGATTTTGAAGTAAAGTGCGCTTAAAAAGTTGTTTGCATATGTTGCAACTGTTTTATTTATACATAAATACTGTTAAAAATTTTATGACCAAAAGGTTGCGAAGAACTTGTTGAGTATACACGGTGCTCGTGTGCAAGATTACAGTTTCAAACTATTGGAAGCTCTTCAAAAAATAAGTATCTTGAATATTTTGTGAAATGTATAAAAAAAAATGATCAGCTGATAAACATGAACGATTAATATTGTCGTCGAGATGCGGCTTTCCTTTTTATGATTGTTTAATTACAGATCGTTGTATACATAATGTGCAACATTCTAACACTGGGCATAAGTTTGTTCAAGATCTTTCTCTCGATGTGGAGTAAGAAAAAACTTTTGGAATTAATTAAATTCGCCAGAACGAATTTCTGGCATTCGGATTATGACTCGCAGGAGCAAATTATTGTGAACGAGTGTAAACGCACTTGTACATTCCTTATATGCGTGTTTAATTTCTTCGCTAATGGGACAGTGTCTGGATACATAATCAGGCCAATTGTAGGTGAGTCGCTTCTACGATTAATTGAAATTTATAAAGAATTAAAATGAAATAAGAATTCAAATCATTACAAATACCCTGATAATTTTTCCAGTTTTCACATAACTCACGTTTGTTCCCTAAGAATATGAATAGGAAATTTTTTTTTATCACATTTCTGCTTTGGTGTATTATTAATCTGCTTGAATCAGAACGAAGTTTGTTAATAGTTTCCAATTACTATTACTCAGAATTTTCATTAATTGAATTAATGAAATTCTTCGTTGTAATTAAATGTAAAATAGAAACGAGATAAGATAATCAGTTGGTACTTCTTCTCAGCAAGTATTGGAAAAAATGAATCCGACAGGTTACTTATAGTCAACTTCTGGATTGACCTGCCGATAACCATCACACCATACTATGAAATATTATTTACGATACAGGTAACGTGAATTTTTTCTTTGCCGTGTTCAATTCACGATAATTGCAAACGTTGATTTTTTATTTCATAAACACTGTACCGTAACTTAAACTTTCGATGTTTAATTTGAATTGAAATTTTTCCGATACTTTTTTACCTAATCTGTTCTGAAAATAATAATAAATTTACAACGATACTTTAATATACAAGAATATTTCAATTTTTAATATAAGTTTAAAATTTCGTGCCATTTTTTCACGGTGCATGTTCAGCAAATAATATTAAATTTACAATTACTCTAGACCTGCCTGTATAATATTTTCCTAAGAGAAGGAAATTGAGAATTAAGTTAAAAATATTTTTCTACCCAATTATCAAAAAGTTACAGTGAAATCGTTTACACCAGTTTATGTCTTTTTTCGCTACAGATTTTTATCATAATGTACGTTTGCATAAGCTACCTTTGTATCGACAATTTTCTGTGCATGATCAATCTACACACAGCTACTCAATTTCGAATATTGCAATACAGACTGTCGAATGTGTGCGGTGCAAACGAACGTAGCGATAAAATTTCGAAAAAAACACCGTCCAATTCGGACGAATGCTACGCTAAGTTCAAAAATTGCATTCAACAGCATCAAGCACTCATAGAATACTGTAACAAACTTCAAGAGGTGTTCGGTATATTTGTGCTTGCACAAGTGTTGCTCTTCAGTTTGTTAATGTGCCTCGATGGATATTTGGTGATGGTTAGTAGGTATTACAAAATTCAACGCAATATCATAGTTTTCTTATTTTCTGATCAAAATACTTCAACTGCACTTTTTATCAGATATTTTGTATATAGAATAAAAAGTGTTTACTCTTTTCTCAAAATTGGTAACGTTTAGCTCCATTTTCTTTTTTTCAACTCTAACAGCAAATATTCAATTATTAACATTAATTTATAACAATCGTTAACTTTTTCGAGAAAAAAATTGGAAATGTTTTGTACGAAAGGACGTAGAATTTTTATTTTTATATTTCGTAGTGTTTTTGATTTCGTAAATATTTAGTTTCGTAAATAAATTTTTAACGAATAAATAGTTAATTTCGTAAATAAATTTGCAATAAATTAATATTCGTTCGATTTTTATGTCTCGTAATGTTTGTTTACTACTATTTCACCGCTGTTGAGTAATTACATCTATGATATAATTACCACAGGAAGATACTCCCATTATGCAGCGCCTTACTTTCTTGTTTCACCTAACGGGATGCCTGTGCCAACTGTTGATGTTCACCTACAGCTGCGATTGCCTGATACGAGAAAGCTTGAACGTGGCCAATGCTATATACGACTGCTCGTGGATTCACTTGCCAATGGACAGATCTGGGCGAATGCTGCGAAAAGATTTGACATTCGTCATTGGAAGATCTAGAGTACCTTGCTGTCTCACTGCTTGTGGATTCTTCCCTGTGTCACTGGAAACGTACACTTCGGTAATTCATTCAACATTTCACACGATATCGATGTTAGAGTATTTCAAGTACTTTTTTTTATATTTAATTAATAAGTTTGGAAAACAGTAAAAAAAGTGTTTGTTAAGAACTGATCGAATCTGATACAATAGTACTAATTTTAAGATCTATAGTGACTATCAATTGCACTTATGGACTCTCTATTGTTAAAATTTAGATTTTTTTTCTCCTTCAAAGGCAAAACTCGAATTTGAAAAATATTCTTGAAATAGCTTTTTAAAACGTGATTAGAAAATTTTACTAATGATTGCATTATAGATTAAACATGGTATCTCGAGTATTTTTCTGCAGTTTTAAAATAATATCTAATAAAGTCCTCTGTTTCTATTTTCATTGTATATTTTGAGTACTACACTCACATGCTACACCATACTAAGGCCGTACAGAACACGAACTTTTGTAAATGAATAATTTATTTTGTGGAAGATTATGTCACATCTCAGACATATTAGAAATTAATCTATCGAAAGAGTTCGTTAAAAGAAAATTCGATAAATGGAAAGTCTTCCAAGATAATGGAGATCGTTTTGAACATTAACATTGTATTTGATACTTTGCAAATGAAAATTCACGTTTATGAAAAAGGATACTGAATTAATTTAAACACCTAATACATTTGCTTGAAAAAAAACAACAATTAACGATAGTTACTATTATATCAGATTTCACTTCAAAACCTACCTCCTAATCCATGAATAAACCTAATTATTGATTTATTACAGATTTTAAGTACCGCAGCGTCATACTTCACACTGCTACGAAACCAAGAAGCAGAAATAGTTGAAACATAGCTAACACCAAATGCCAACGACCATACGAACCCAAAATGACAAATCGAAAAATTTGATTTTCACGAATAAACCTAATTATTGATTTATTACAGATTTTAAGTACCGCAGCGTCATACTTCACACTGTTACGAAACCAAGAAGCAGAAATAGTTGAAACATAGCTAACACCAAATGCCAACGACCATACGAACCCAAAATGACAAATCGAAAAATTTGATTTTCAATCAAAACCAAAACTTCGTCTGTTAGCCAAAAAAGAAAAAGTACAAACTATTTCTTTATCAAAAAAGTCCAAGCACATGGTCAGTAATAATTCTTTTTCTAATCGTTAAACCCTAAACAAAACTTACCAAAACTTTTTCAAACACGTTTCACAAAACACCAAAAAAAAAAAATTATCATACAATTCTCGACTCAACAATGAATCTTCAGTCCGTTTGTTCACAAGTAGTGGATGACTGCAAAAGTTCGTGCCCGATTTGAAAATAAAATACAACCGGTACGTGCACAAGCAGATTTCATTTGAAATTGAAACGGAACGAAACGAACAATTATTTGAAAATAAAACACAAGCGGTGTATCTTCCGATAGGAATGTAACATTACGCTAAAAGAAACATCTGTGCCGAAGTCGACAAGGTTCTCACCACGTCTGAAAATCGGGCACGAACTCTTGCAACCGTCCGATATCACATCGTTCCGTTCTCTTCGGCAATAATAATGTTTACCGCAGCGAAAGGGTTAATTCGCAAATATAGAAATATTCTTTTCTACCCTTTTCGACGACTTTCATCCATCTTTCTTTCGTCTTTCGATATTTGTCATTTTTGAATAATACGAGAAGTGACTAACTCCATAAAATTAAATTTATTACATTTTATTTCATTTATGTAGAATTTAGCATTAAACGTGTCCTTTCGTATTAATTATTAGAAGAATATCAAAATGTGAAGTTAATCATTTTCGCGTCTGAGTGGTTCATACTTAAATAATGCTTTAAGACAATTTTTTTAAAACGAATACAAGTGAGTGAAAATTTATAAACGACGATAAAGCACCTTGAAACCATTTTCGTCGAATTTCTCATTTCATGAAACAAACATCTTGCAACGAAATGAATTATTTATTTTTGTTGTTGCAGGTTATAAGTACAGCAGTGTCGTACTTCACACTGTTAAGGCAACGTATAGAGGACAGCAATAGTTAGTAATGTATTCTATTTCGACAGTGTGCATAATATAAGCGGTACCAAGCTTTGTACATAAAAAAATTCCGTCATTTATATTTGATAGAAATATAAATTCACGGATTGTACCCGTTACATGATCAGCACGAATACAAGGATAACTTTCTAGCAATAAAGGTTTCGTTAACTTTTTTCACAATTTTTAATACTGTTTCCACATCGAACCTCCGGCAATTCTGTTTATTTAAAACAAAACGCTTGTGCAATTATGTTTTACCGTTTCAGAAGTGATTTGTAGTTTTGTAAATTTTTATCCTGACACTTTTAAATGTTCATACTTCTAATCTTAACAAAAGAAGAAGAAAAAGGATTTAAATAATTTTTAGGTGATCTTCCCATTTTTATTAAACCAAATATTAAACACAAAGGGAGATAAAAAAGTATCCACTGCTGTCCCTTGATTTCACAAGTTTTTCGTTAAAAAATTCATTTTGGTAATTTTATCTTTCAAAAAATAAAATGTGAAGAATATAGAAATTTTACTTTTAGCAGATAACACATGAAAAAATAGAGCAATTGTATTTTGTTCTTCTTTACTTAATGAAATTAAACATAATCGTGATATTTTTATATTTATATACTGCATATACACGTCAGTATGCATAATTCAAATTCCTCCTCCATCAAACGAAATCACGTTAATTCTCCCATTTCACGTATAAAAACATAAATTGTTACCTGAATCACTTTTTCTTTCATTCACTTCCACATTTTGCATAGTCCTTTCATAATTATTTATTCTCAACCGCCAAGTATTCTTCACGCTTGAATTTCAAACTGCAACCATATAACCTTTACATTCGAACATTTTTACAACACAAAAAAAAAGCAACGATTCACCCGCTCGCTGCATAGTACTTACAACAAAACAACACCGGATTCACCGCTTGAAATCTTCAAATTCATCGTTTCATCATCATCCATTTCCTCCTCTTTATTCCATTCATGTTCTTCCATCGTCAACTCCTCACAGAACTTAGACAACGTTCAGACGTACAGTTCGCGATAAATGGATCACAGGTGAAGTTGAAAATAACGATAAGTTGCAGAGCGTGATCACTGGCCCCTTCTAAATAATGCAGCAACAGATCAGTCAATCACTCCAGCTGGTCTTTTTTTTCCTATCCGTGAAAACCGGCAACTACGTTTTGCGTTTCACGCTCCCCGAAACGCCGTCCTAGAAGAAAAAGAAGAAACTCGTTGAAATAGAATACAGAAGACACGGGAAAATACGACGAAGAAAAAAAGGAATCGATAATAAACCGCTGCGCGAGGGAAAGGAACTGAATTTTGTATAATGCAGAGAACTCGCGTGACAAATACTTAATTCATTAGGTAGCAAAGAAGTTTCGACACTGTACAGTCGCTATGCAAACGGAGAAGGATTCGGACATATCGATCAACTTGTCGAAATTCTTCTTGCGCAATGTCGGCCTGTGGAGGGCTGAGAATCACGCGGAGAATCGTAAAAGGAAAGCGTTGGTCGCCTACACGATTTGGAACATGTTTTTGGCCATAGTGGTTGAAACGAGAGATATGTATTTCACCTGGTTCTATAAAGGCGTGAGTGTATCGAATGTTTTCTATGTGTACGATGTAATTTGGTGTAAGTTCGGTGCACGGTTGTGGTAGGTTTTATTTTGAGCGAATATTAGCGAGGATGTAGGAAGATTTGATGTCTTCTAAAATTATTTCAAAAATATGGGAAGCTTCAAGAATGTATTTTTAACACCTTTTCTATTAGGTTATTTTAAGCAAACCTTTAGTATGACTTAAACATGTTTTTGTTTCTTTTTTAAATCACATTTTCTGTCATTTTCTAGGACAATGTTTATTTTACGAGGATTTAGGATGATTTGATGCTTTCTAAAATTATTTGAAAAATATGGGAAGCTTCAAGAATGTATTTTTAACACGTTCTCTACTAAATTACTTTAAGCAAACCTTTAGTCTGACATAAGTGTGATTTTTCAATTTTTTTATTCTTCTTTGAATCGCTTTTTCTGTCATTTTGTATGACAATTTTAATTTTTTTCAATTTCTTCGGTATATTTATTATAAATATACAATAATCTTTATTTTCCTATTCTCCTTTTTCTTTCTTTACCCATTTACAATTCGAATTAGCAGGAATACTTACAGCAATTACAACAGAATACAGATAATGTTCTTCTTTTCTGAATCACGACGATAAAATAAGCACCGTGTTTGTCAGAATAAGAACTGCAATTAATTTCAAGAAATAAACATTTTTATGAAGCAACGAATACATTAAGTATCTAAACTAATGAAACCACCTACGATTGAATGAATATTTATTATTACTATTATTAGTTACTTTACAGTGGTTTGTTTCTAGGATATTCTTTACGTTAGTACCAACTTACTGAGCGTGATCTTAACTACGATCAAGCTAACTGTCGTACTAATACACAAAGTGGAATTCATGAGTCTGATTGATTACATGTACGAACATTTCTGGAACGTGGATTACGATCTTCACGAGAAAAGAATTATGGATAATTGTAAAAAAACTTGCATCATCTTCACTTCAAGCGTCACTACCATTGGCATATGCGCTATAATATCTTACATAGCGACACCGTTTATCAGTGAGTTCGAAAAAACATTCATTTCTCTAATTTCAACGATACTTTTCTCATTAACAGATACCTTACCGAAGGAATAAATGTGTTGTACATATATATTTAAAATCCGAAATATAATCATTTCAAAAAATTTATTCTTCCAGTAGAGGAGATTGTTTTGTAGAAAAAAATTAATAATTTACGAAATTGTTTCAGTGCACAGTCAAAGCAACAAATCTGAAAGAGCGTTTCTGTTCGACATGTGGCTCAATTTACCTCTGACTGTTTCGCCTTACTACGAAGGAATGTTGGCTGTACAGGTATTTCCAGTTTTCACAATTTTACCTTCACGCGATTTACCTTATCAATATTCAGAAAATCAACATTAAGTTACCGTGTCGTGTGTAATATAATTATCACCGATTTTGACGAATCTTCGGTATATGATAGCTCTCAAAAAAATCTTCGACACCTACTTTTTAATGTCAACAATAGCCCACAATGAAGGAATGAAAATCGCCCTGAAAAATAAGGGGATAATAACCATATTTGATCGAATATCTCAAATTTGAAAACTGAAAATTATAAAAAAATAGAAAATAATGAATAAATTAGTATTTTTCAAATTTTGTCCCTGTAAAATACGAAATTTGTCGATTTCCACCGTTTCTCTATCTCTGATCATTTTCGAGGTATTAGATCTGTTTAATCCTCGACAGGTATGTCAGCCGCCCGACCCTTAGATTTCTTAGCATGTAGTTCTATTGTATATATTTTTCGCCTTCGCTCGTTTCGTAGCAGCGGTAATTTTATGACGCCACGGCAATCGTAGTCTTTCAATCTAAGAACTTGCTTTCACCTTTATTGCCTTGTTTTCGACTTAGAATCTTCGCCCCTTTTTTAACTTGTACATTTTTTGCATTCATACGGTCACCAGAGCCGAAGCGCGTCTTAACGTTATTGTCTGCTACGGTCATTGTTCGGGGCACTCGGAATTCCCGCGTGCGTCACTCAAGGGTACGCTTGGTACCTGAGAGTGACCTATGGTCTGGGGGGTGGCATTTTCGTGTAGTTTTTCCCACCTATGATTTCAACCAATAGTTTTCGCCAACCACCCTTCCCCACCACTATCGAAAAATGTACTCAACCTATCCGAGGGCCTCACCCCCGCGATGCGTCCTCGCACGGAGGTGTCGTGGGACCTTTCGCGGAAGGGAAAGACAGAAGTCATCTGACCACACCACGAGTCGCTCCTTTAGAAGTTTAGACCAATAGTAATAGTTGTTTTGTCCTCCTAATCACGGTGGTGCTCCCTCGAAGACGAACCTATCAGATTTAGTCGGCACACCACGTGCTAAAAGCGACAAGGCTCGAAAGGCTCCTTCGAAGACGAACCTATCAGATTTAGTCGGCACACCACGTGCTAAAAGCGACAAGGCTCGAAAGTTGGTTGCAACTGCCACGAGCACATCCTAACAAGATCAAATATGTTTATTATCCCAAAGAATTGAATTGGCTGAAATACTTGGTAGAATTATGAAATGAGTATTATTCGTATTGTAGTATCGGGGCCTCCGTACCCAAATAGGAAACCGACGAGGGAGAATAGAGGGGGAGTGGTTGGCGTAGCGCGCAAAGGGTTCGATTCCTGTTGGGGTCCCCCGATATTTTTCCGTCGGTTTTTACCATATGAAATGACTAATAATCTTTGTTTCTGATAGATTTCAGGACTGTATTTCACAGGAATCTGTTATTTCTGCTTCGACAATATTTTCTGCATCATGAGCGTGCATTTGAGTGGCCAGTTTCGCATACTTCAGTATAGATTGACGAAACTGTCCGACGTACAATATCAGATAAGCGAGAAAAATATGGAATCTGTATTGGAAGACTGTACACGTAGATCTTACGAGAAATTTAAGAGTTACGTTCGACAGCATCAAACGTTGATCGATTATTACGAGAAGCTTGAACACGTTTACACGAAAATTATACTTGGGCAAGTGTTACTGTTCAGTGTGTTAATTTGCCTCTTTGGTTATCAGATATTATTGGTTAGTATTTCACTTCCTCCAACTGAATTTAAGCTGCAAAATTATTCAAATCATATCCAAAAGACAAAATTCCAAAAAATATTATATTCTGCTGTAACTTTTTCGAATTTTTTATCTTTCGTTGTTGCACGAAATGAGATTTTTTCTTAACTCTTTAACTTCTCTAATAATAACTTTCACAGATCTTTTATATTTCGCTATTAAACGAAATATGGACGAACGAAGGGATCTTAAGAATATTTGAAAAATATGTGAGATTTTCGATAATTTATCGGTAAAATAACGCGTTAAATAAGTGATTTGTTATTGTCACACGTTAGGCAACGGAAGAAGAATCAAATAAGTCTACATTCGCTTAATACTTTTCATTCTTCTCGTTCGTTCAAATTACGACGAATTCAATAATCTCGAAACTCAGTGCTTTCGACTAAATTCAATTATTTCAAAACGAGGGATCTACATTTAAAAATATCGCCCGGTTTCAAAGTATCCCGTATTGATTAGAGCGAAATGACGGAAATGAGAGGTCGTTTGAAGAAGTATATTACACGATATACGATAATCCTAACTGCATCAAGGTCTGAAAAAGTTACACAGCTTTGAAACTTCAGTTGAAAGAAAAAAAGAAAAAGAGAACGTCTCTTCTCGTGTACCAACCTAATGCATAAATCTAATTGTGCAGTTCACAGACGAAATTTCATCTGTGATTCTAGCACTTTCTGATTAGCATATTTCGCGCGGAATTACGAACATTCGTTCACCGTTGTCGAAGTGCACAATTAAGGACAAATGGCTTCGTTTTTAAATATACTTTTGCATTGTAAAATCGAGGAGAACTTGTACACACATATTCTTCGTAGAAAATCTTTTCACTGAACCAGCACAGTATTTTTCGAATTTTTATTGGAAAAGTATTATGTACATCGTGTACGAAAACCAAGAAAAAATATTTGAAGCTTCCAGTGCACAAATTAAATTTGATACGCGATGGAAATCAAAATTATATTTAACAGACTAATATATAATTCTTTTTTCCATTAAATCGATAGAGAAAAATATTTATCTGTGAAAGGAAAGAAATATTTATCTGTGAAAAGAAAGGAATATTTATTTGTGAAAAGATTGAAATTTGTATCTGTGAAAAGAGACATATTTATCTGTGAAATTAACGATCCTCTAACCACGATCGGAATTCGCTCCAAATTTTTGACAAATCTTAATTTAAAAGAACGTGGAAAATTGCTGAAATATTTAAGTAAAAATACTTTTGGTTAGGTTCTTTTTTTTAATTTACTTAATTTTTAGGCTAATACTTCTCTTGCAAGGCGCAGTATTTTCATGTTCCTCATATGTGGCGCCATGGTTTTATTGTTTATGTTCACCTACAGCTGCAATATGGTGATAGAACAAAGCGATAATATTGCTTTTGCGGCGTATTCGGCACTATGGACGGGTATGCCAATGAACAAAACTGGCAAAAAGCTACGGCATGATTTGATAATGGTCATTGGGAGGTCTAGACGAGTTTGTTGTCTGACTGCGAATGGATTTTTCCCTGTGTCCTTAGAAACTTATACTACGGTGAGTTCACTATGCAACTTTCGTTCGAAATATAATGTAAAAGTAAAGAAACATTGTAAACACGTTTATATTCTACTAATACACGAAAGAAAAAGAAATTGATCTGCGAAATGAAATATGTAAAATGAATTTTCTTCAAATCTAAAATCCAATTTTCTTTTATAATTAATTTCACATACACAATGTTTATATACAACACACCAATACACGAAAGAAAGAAATATTTATGTGCGAAATTATGTCCTTTAATTTGCAATCTAATTTCTTTATTTAATTAATTTCATATTAATTTCTCTCGTATTTTGCTGTACGAATAACATTTTCCAAAAATTCTGAAACACTCGTTTCTTTTTTTACAGATTTTGAGTACCGCGGCGTCGTACTTCACATTATTGAGAAATAACGTAGAAGATGTAGTTAAAGCATAGCTACCGTCAAATACCCTCGTGGGTATTCACCCCAAATCTGGGTGAATAACACGTGGTTGAACGTTTAATACGAATATATTTGATAATAACAATTGCACAATAACGATAACGATACATAAAAGGCTCGCTCTCTTTGTTTTCATTAACAACGCGCGGTTCTACTGTTTACCCGCTGCTTCTCTCTAGGACACTCCCCGTTTCCCCAATCTCGATTCGAGTATCAGCCATAGATCATGTCTATCCTAGAACGTTCACACAAATTCAAAACAAACACACGAGATTCACGCCGTCACTCACAACATATTATTAAAACCAAATCCACAAAGTAATGCAATTACGTCTGTTGGTAAAATAAAGAGAATCCTTTAGCAACAAATATTTACGTTCACCTAAGTACCTCTAAATTACTATCAAAAATTTCTAAAATCCTCTCAAACAATATTCATTACTCGATCAATTACTCCATCAACAATTTCATAAATCTACGTACACCTAAGTATCTTCAAACTACTATGAAAAATTTCTGAAATCCTCTCGAACAATATCTATTGCTCAATCAAATCAAACAAAAATTTCATTAATGTAGGATGTGAACAGGGTGAAGGGAGCAACAACGGGTCGACGTTGTAAGATTTAATAAAGAAAACAGAAAAAAAACAAAATGATAGATACAAACGACTCGGTGGCCACTTAACCACTGCCTCTTTCGCTCGTCTCGTGCCTCGCCGACGCACCGCGGTCACACGCGTACGCAGCACGCACAGCCGTCGTCTTTCGGTAGCTTTTGTCTAGCTACCTCTGCGCTAGACCGCCCCACATTACTTTACGTCAGAACTGCTTAACTTCTTGCTCACGAGCAAATTTCCCCTCCCGAGGTTCCTCTACTATGCGACTGAGATGATCTCACTCGAGTTGCGGCGCGGCGGGAGGACGCGTGGAGTCCTTCCACCACAACTCCAGCGATAGTTTTTTGGTACGAACACGCAGAATGTGTAACATAAACAAAAGGCAGTCGCTGGAGTTGTGGTGGAAGGACTCCTTCTCGCGTCCTCCCGCCGCGCCGCAACTCCTGCGGGATCATCTCAGTCGCATAGTGGGAGAACCTCGGGAGGGGAAATTTGCTTGTGAGCAAGAAGTTAAGCACTCTGATTTACGTACACCTAAGAATCTTCAAACCACTCTCAAAAATTTCTAAAACCTTCTGAAACAATGTTCATTACTCGATCAAACCAACCGAAAACTTCATATAAAAAAATTATCCTTGTACGTACTCTTCTGTTCTCTTGTACATTTTCTTCTTCTATCAACACCAACATCGTCTCGCAGCATCTTCCCGAACTAATCAAGAACAGAATGTCACACCATCCAATCGCCTGATCTCGACACAAACCTGTACAAAATCTCAATGCTCGTCCAACGCATCGAAAACTCCTCGTTACTTCGTCCACGACTACACTTTCCTCTTTTCCCAAGTGATTCGATCGTGTCATTACCATTTTAACCACCATCCAAGTACTATCATCTTAAAACTCCTCATGCCACAATTTAACGAGCGAAAATTTCCTTTGACATCGCGGTGCACAGCTGCTCACCGTTCTTCAATTTCACAGAGGGTTTCGTAATTCTCTGGATCATGCATAACTCATCGATCCCCCATCTATGCCATTTTGCTTATCGAATAAAGAAGAAGCAATCGAACGATGCGCGGTGGTCGGGCATTTTCCGCTCCTCTCTTTCCTTTTGTTCTTTTCCCTCGCGGTCTCTGTCGGATGGAACGCTCGCGTGGACAACCGTACAAAATAGAACGCGAAACCTCGCTGCGATCGATAGATAAAAGACGCCGATAGATCAAAGCGACCAGTTTTCTAATAATCCGATACGAAGCGTGTCCGAGTGCAGCAGCGGTTTGATTATTACCGGATACGATATGAGTAGTTTCACCACCGATGACATATCAATCAGCCTGACGTCCGTTTTCATGAAGATCGTTGGACTGTGGATGGCGTCGAACCGTTTCGAGCAACGAGTACGAAATATCACGCTGTGTTACACGCTGATCGCGATTCTCTTCGCCCTGTGGATACAAATGACGGATTTGTATTACTCGTGGGGAGATTTTGGTGTAAGTGCGAGGGGAATTTGTGTGCTTTAGGTGTTGGAAATGGATTGAGACTGATTTTAAGGTAGCAACAGCCTGAGACGTCTGGGAATAGGGCGAAGTTTGGGAATTTTTCCGAAGTTCGTTTGGTAAGATTTGTAGCTTTTAAAAATTGGGAATGATAGATGAATGTTGTGTTTACATCCTGTGAAAGAATTGGAATTTTCCAGTTAGTAGTTAGCTGTGAAAAAATTGACAAAGTTTAGCTTGATTTGGGTGTCTCGGGGTGGTGTTGCCCTTTAAACGGACAATTTATTTGGGTTCTATATATTTGGTACAGATTTGGAGAAAGAATTAGTGTACATGAATTCCTGAAAATTGCAGTGTTATTCAAAAGCTTGGAACCATTGACGATGGGAAGGCAGAAAAGAAGTTTCAGGGGGAATGAGCTATTTTAAGAATTTTTTGAAGAGATTTTTATTACCCTATTAGATATTTAATCTCATCAGATTAGATACTCTGTTAAATTACCGTTAGCCTTTGTAACACTAAATTTCTAATGGATAACGAAATTGATAACAGATTCTGTATTGCTATATTTTGAGAACCTTTTTTAATCATAAATTATGTTAACCATTGCAACGTTAAATTTCCAATGGAAAACGAAATTCAATGCAAATTCAATATTATCATAAATTGATAACAGATTCAATATTGCTATAAATTGAAATATGGTTCCAAATTTTTACCAAATATTTTACACAGTGTATATACACATATTGAACGTTGTTTAATTTGAAAGTTATAGCGATTATAGCTATTGGCACAATTTAAAAAAAAAAAAGTGATTCCATTTTATTCGAATGTAACAATAATAATAATAATAACTTGCACTTATTCCTTTTCCGTTTGCAGGCCTGTTTATATACTGCATGCAACATTTTATCGTTAACAATACCGTTTCTCAAGATACTCGTCTTGCTTGCACACAAAAATGATTTTTTTCATTTGATTCTGCACCTACAACGAGAATTCTTGCATGCAGATTACGACGACTACGAGAAAAAGATTTTGCTCGGTTGCCAACGTCAATGTACCTTCTTCGTTTGTTTCTTCACACTTTTCACTAAAGGAACTGTTATCTCGTACATCGTTAATCCGCTTATTGGTAAGTCGATTGATTCGTTGAATACATCGAGCTTGATCCTATGCTTCTGGATTGAATGTTCCTCAGAGAACGCAAAATTTATATTTTCGTCATGCACACTTTTCTTCAGTTAAGAAATATATAGGGTGTTAAATAATAGGGTGATTGTAAATCTTTAGAGTTTAGATACTCAATCGAGAGGAATAAAAATTTCTTCATCGACAATTCATCATATTCACCAAAAATACAGGCAATATCGAATTTATTATATATTAATACAAAAGCAGATATTACATTGAAAGCATTATGAAAATATTTTCTTCTACGAATTTGTAATATACTTTATCCGCGATTTATACTTTTTTTTTCTGCGAATTATATATTTCTTCTGAGAATTACAAACCCCTAAAATCGTAAACTCCTTCTTTCTTTAACACTCTGTATACTTTTAATTGAATTCCTCAAGATGAGAATGAAAATGAACGAATAAATCTATCGAAAAGAAAGCACGGATATTAGTGCAGATTTTTTTATGTGCATGCCCGACTAGAAATTTCAGTTAGGCAGATATTAGGTCCGCATTAGGCTAGCCTAATTTGCCTGTTAGGCCCGCATGCGGTATGTAACACGGAATATTCACGACCGCCTAATTGGGAAAGCCGCGTTAGGACCGCATTAGGCCCATATTAGAGTAGCTTTATTAGGCTGTCATTGGGAGACATTAATGAAACCTCAAATCTTGTTGAAAGATCTCACGCAAGCGTACGTCCGACACTGAGATGTCTGTAAATATTTCTATATATAAGTTTCAGAGCCCCACTCCACTTAATTTAGATGTGCTCTCGGCCATCCCCATTATAGCCACGTATGGCAACTGTTAGGAACGCCTAACTTAGGCGTGCGATCGGCCACGCCCATTTGGGCCACGTATGGCAACTGTTAGGAACGCCCAACCTAAGCGTGCGCTAGGCCACGCCCATTTGGGACACGTATGGCAACTGTTCGGAACGCCCAACCTAAGCGTGCGCTAGGCCACGCCCATTTGGGACACGTATGGCAACTGTTCGGAACGCCCAACCTAAGCGTGCGCTAGGCCACGCCCATTTGGGACACGTATGGCAACTGTTAGGAACGCCTAACTTAGGCGTGCGCTGGGTCACGCCCATTTGGGCCACGTATGGCAACTGTTAGGAATGCCCAACTTAGGCATGCATCATACCTTCCGAATTAGGACCTAATGCGGTAACGATTAGGCTTGCAGCATTTAGGTGTGCCTAATCGTTTCCGCATTATTCCCACATTCGTCTTTAGGCATGCCTAACTGAAATTCTAGTCGGGTGTGTATTACTTTTATTGCACAAAAAGTAGAAAATAATAAAGAATAAGTTGCTCGCGCTTTCATTTTAGCAAATATTGGAAAAAATGAGTCAGAGAGGATACTTCCATTTAATATGTGGGTCAACTTGCCATTATCAATGACGCCATATTACGAAATAACTTTTTCATTACAGGTATTGTTTTTTCCTTTATCGTTATTTTATAGTACAGAAAATATGAAGAATTTGTCCATTAATATACGAGTTAATTTCAATCGAAGATTCGAATTTTGAAAATTTTTTAGGTTCTGTCTCTGTACCATATTGGCGTGAGTTATTTCTGCTTCGACAATTTTTTATGCATCATGAACTTGCACGCGGCTACTCAGTTTCGAGTATTGCAATACCGAATGGCGAATATGACCGATTTAAAGGACAAAGAGAGGAAAGAGAGAAATATGAAGACAAGTGTGAGTTCGGCGTGCTTTGCAACAGAATGTTACAACGTTCTCAAAGATTATATCAGACAGCATCAGAACCTGATTGCTTATTGCAACAAACTCGAGAAAGTGTTCAATATCATTGTTCTGGGGCAATTGTTAATGTTCAGCATGTTGATCTGTCTCGATGGATTTCAGATACTTATGGTTGGTATGAGAAGTTATTCTTTTAGAAAGAACGAGAAATAATTTTTCATTTTCGATATTTTATATTACAGAATTGTGTAAAATTTTTGTGTTACATTAAGAGTTTTATTAAAATTTTGAAATTGAACGAAATTACCACATTACGACACCAAATTTATAAATGTAGAAAATTCTGAAATGTATAAAACCCTTTTGTAAAAGTTAAATAAGATTTTCAAGCAATTACTGTAATTCCCTTGCAACCTTCCACTTTTTCTTTTTGGATATTATTTAACAAATCTATATGAAATTTAATTGATTTTATATTACATAGATTGCTAAAATCGTAGAGATGAAATTTTAACGTCACGTCTCTTAATTTTCTTTTTTATATTACATAGAAAATATATTATTACAGAGAATTGTTAAAGTCGTAGAAATGAAATTACAGGGTAATTTCGGGAGAGATGGACCGACGGGAGAGACGAACCAGCCATGTATTTCCTACATTATCCGCCAGGTATGGATCAAAAAGCACCGAGAGCCACGCTCGATCGCTTTCCGTAAAACAAATGTAAAACAAAAGAATACTGACGCGTTCCACATATGGCGGATAATGTAGGAAATACTTGCCTGGTCGAGCACCTCCCCCCGAGGTCGGGCATCGGCAAACAGATGGGTTGGGGAGCTGCCGAAGGAGTATAAAGTTCCCGTGGCCCTCCCTAGCGTGCCCGACGAGGACCACCGTGGAGGTTTTAGTGGGTAAGAATCCCACACTACCCCGCATCCCACCCCCGGGGGGCGGGATGTCTTATTGAAGATTTCCTCCACGTATAAAAAAAAAAAGGAAATACTTGGCTGGTCCGTCTCTCCCACCGGTCCATCTCTCCCGGAATTACCCTACCAATGCCACCTCTGTTACTTACACCCTACCTAATATTTAGTATTATCTGACAGTGTCGTTAAAACTAAATGACTGTATATTACGTTTTACAGGCAAATACACCTACCAGAACCCGACTGATTTTCATCTTTCACATAGGAGCATGCATGTGTCAATTGCTGATGTTTACCTACAGCTGCGACTGCATCATAAGAGAAAGCACGAGCACCGCCGAGGCGGTGTACAGCGGTCCCTGGACACTTTTACCAATGAGCGCAGACGGAAAAATGATAAGGAAAGATTTGATGCTCGTTATCATGAGATCGAGCGTACCTTGTTGCTTGACAGCCAGAGGATTCTTCGTCGTGTCTTTAGAAACGTACACAGGGGTAATCGTCACCCTTTTCTTATCTACTGTAACGAATACTGAATTTAGACTGTATTTTACAGACGTTAGAAATTACTTTAGATTAAAATTGAGATTACATCGTCGGTTTGCTAGAAAAGTGACACAATAAACAATTGAATTCTACAAATTGTTATTATACGTTTTTCTTTTTATCAAATAAATAGCATGGAATGGAATTGATTGCTCTATTTCATTTGTTACAGGTTTTAAGCACCGCAGCCTCATACTTTACGTTGCTGAAGCAAAGATCAGAGAATGCCGACAGTTCGTGATATATTTTAGCTGTGATAGTATGCAATAGTATAGGTGAAACTATTGTATAATTTCTACATGAAACATTATGATATAGTTTTGTAGCAGTAAAAAGTTATTAATTGTTAATGCTATCTATAAGCTTCCCTTAACAATTCAAATCTTGCCAAATCATTTTTAACATATTTTGAAAAGTGTGCATTGCAATATATTCTAATCATAATTACATAAATTCTTATCAAATCATAATTCCAATTATTGTTGAAATATTTTTGGGTGCCAATTAATATACTTCAGCATCAAAAAAAAGAATCTTAATCTATTAATTTCCAGGAACTTTACCAGTTATCAAAAATTCTATTCGTCCACTAATAACGTTTCAACTTAACAAGTAATCCATTTTAATTAAATTAATTAATTACATACTGAAATATATTCTATACATAAAAACTGGACAAATATTTAAAGAAAAACAAGAGAAATGAAAATTAAATTACTCACCAAAAAGGTCTAAAAAGGAAAAAAAAACACATGCAAATGATTTCTCAAATAAACCAAATAAAATACTCTCAAACTCTGTACCAAACACAGACTATCCAACAAAAATTGAAACATGCAAATTCATGGGTAACTCCCATTTACTTCACACATATCAAGAAGGCCATTCACAGATTTTTCACAACCCCATAAGTAACAACTCAATCTTCCCCAAGTGAAACATTCTCCCTCCATAAAATACCAAAAAAGTACCACACTTCGTTTTACAGTCCAATCTTCCAGTTTCTCACTGTGTTACGTTCGTCTGTCGACCACGTTTTAGCCTCGCAGAGGGTTCCACAATTCTCTTCCCTGAATCATGCATACCCCATCGATCACGTAAATGACGTGCGTCATGAACATGGGCAATTGCACGGTCGCTTATCCATTGTAATAACTTTTTCTCCGGCACAAATGTACGCGCAAGTATCACTAACGATAAGTATAACATATAGAACGGAGAAATAAAGGATGAGGCGGAAGATCAAAGGCATGCTACGACGTTCGATCGTTTCTCGGATTGATAGGTTCTACAATACCTTTCGTAAAATTTCAAATTGTCCCGTCAGATCATTTCGCATGTTTTAGTATGAGCTTGAAATATCGCCAAGACGTTTCCGTTAGATTAGCCAATTTTTATCTGTATGTCGTCGGCTTCTGGTTCGCCGCTAATCGTATAGAGGAATGGTTCGGAAACGCGGCGATTCTGTATACCATTGTCACGGTCTTCTTTGTCATGTGGCTTCAGCTGAGAGGACTTTATTTCTCCTGGGGAAACTTTGAAGTAAGTGGATTGTCGCTGACGTTTCGTCGAGCGTTCATTTGTTAAGATAGGATAATAACGAGTTAGGTTTAAGGTTAATATTTTTGGATGAACAGTTTTTATGCAGTGTTTTTTTTTAGAATCTTGTTTTGGAGGTTTTTGATTACCGTTTTGTTGAAATGAGATGGAATTGTTCGTGAGTGTTGCTAGTAAAGTGTGAATGTTAATTGGAGTATGTCCAAATATGCAAATGAAATGTGTGAAATATGAGAATATTTGATAAACATTTTTTCAGCACAGTGTTTTTTTGACAATTGCGTTTGGTTAGTTTCTAATCATTATACATATTTTTCATATTTTTCATTTATATAATTATATTATCATATTTAAAATATGTGAAATATGAAAATATAATTTGTGAACATACGCAAGAAATATGTGGGATATGTGATAAATATATTAAAAATATCGAATATTGAAAACATGCCATAATAATGGTACCTTTATTATTTAGACATCGCGATTATAATTTAAATTACAATAAAATATATGAAATTTTTTCTATATTAGCTGTGAAATTAAAATTGATTGATAAGCAGAAAATGTTTGATATATGTAATAATAATACAATAAACTTTTGCATATGTTCTTAAAGAGCAAATTATACGTATAATTTTGTTTTTTCAGGTTTGCATGTACATGGCATGCAACAGTTTAGCCCTGGTTTTGGATATAATCAAGATTTTCGTCCTACTCGTACGGAAGAAAAAGTTTCTCGGTCTGATTGAGTACATGCAGAAGAATTTTTGGCATTTGAACTACGACCAGGACGAGAATTCTATTATCGCACACGCGAAACGAACGTGCATCTACTTCGTCTGCGTCTTTTCATTTTGTTCTCAATCTACAGTTTTTTCCTATATAATAAGGCCATTTGTATGTAAGTCTCAAGTGAAATATTAATATTTAAATGACAATCTATGTATTGCTTTTCTAACATTTTTTTAAACATTCTCGAAGTCTTCTGTAGTTGTTAATTAACCATAGAAAAAATCATGCTTAATTGAAAAAGATTTAAATTGTAGTAATTTAATGGGAATTTTATTTTAGCAAATCTTGGAAAGAATGAATCTGATAGAGAACATATATACGATATGTGGCTCGATCTACCATTATCCGTAACACCATATTATGAAATTACTTACATAATACAGGTATTACCAATTTTCTCAAGGCAAACTATATTTATATATTAACATTATTATAGAGAAAAAAATATTTAATGCGAATAATAAGAAAGAAGTAAGAACAGTGTAATTTACAGTTGCAAGATAATTTAGCAATATTTTTAAAAATAATTAAAAATAACTTAAAAAGCAAATCTAATTAATTAGTAACCAAATCTAATGACTAAATTCTAAAGATAGGTATACAGTTCTCGTGAAACCTGAAAATATTTATAAATTTCAAATTTAGAAATCACAAATGATTCCAGGTAATAAAAACATTTCTCTCACGCAGGCTTTATCTGTGTACCAAGTTAGCGCGTGTTACCTTTGCTTTGATATCATTTTTTTCATTTTGTGTCTACACGTGGCTGGTCAGTTTCGTATACTACAATACAGAATTGCCAATGTGTCAGGTCTAAGCGAGATAGTGAAAAGCAGTGAAAATCCAAGCACAGATGAATTATACTCAGAGAAATGTTACATCAAGTTTAAGAATTGCATTCAACAGCATCAGGCACTAATTGAATTTTGTGCAACACTCGAAGAGGTATTCACGGTAATCGTACTCGGACAAGTCCTAATGTCTAGCATATTAATTTGCTTCATCGGGTATCAAGTACTCCTGGTGAGTATCGAAAGCTATAATAAATACTGTATGACAAAAGAAAATTTTCATTTCGGAAGAGAAATTCATTTTTTTGTCAATTTAAAGATTCATTTTATTGTGAATTTAAATATTCATTTTTCTGTCAATTTAAATATTAATTTTATTGTGAATTTAAATATTAATTTTTCTGTCAATTTAAATATTAATTTTTGTGACAAATTTAATATTAGCTTTTCTGTCAACTTAAATACTAATTTTTCTGTCAATTTAAATATTAACTTTTGGAATAAAGCACATTTAAATTACGGAGTTTAAGGAAATACAAACGAAGAATCTTTAATACCTGTGGAATAAAATGTTCGCAAGAATATTTTTAGGTAGAATATTTTCTATACAAAAGAAATTCTTTGAAAAATTTCTATAGAATTTAAAGGAACTTCTGTAGAAATCAAGTATCGTTTCATTTTTATATAATTTATTAACGATTTCAATATATATAATGGCACACAGATAAAGTTATCATTTGAATCGCGCGTTGCTTTCGCGTGCTTCTTGATGATGGGCATGAGTCAACTATGGATGTTCACGTATAGTTGCGATTGCATAACAACAGAAAGCCTGAACATCGCTGAATCTGTGTACGCTGGACCATGGATAAATTTACCAATGGACAAATTTGGAAAACTGCTAAGAAAAGAATTGCAAATGCTCATCTTGAGGGCGAGACGACCTTCCGCTTTGACTGCCTGTGGATTCTTTTCTATATCTCTCGAAACCTTTACTAAGGTATTTAAATACTAAAGTAATTGAAAACAAATAGTTTCAAATTTCTGTAAACTTACAAACTTTCAAACGCTAAGGTTTCTTATTAATAAAAGTGTTTTCTATTGACTTCAATCTAGTTCTGATAGGAATTAATTGAAGATAAATATATTATAATAATTAGAAGATTAATTGGCCCATAAAAATACATTACTTAAATTCAGAAAGCTAGAATTATACAAAAAGTTAATTTTTTAGTTTTAAATCTTCGGATTAAATTTGCCATTTATTTAATTAATTGATATATTCACTTATTGTTGTGCTCCCTATGTTACAGATCATGAGTACATCAATGTCGTATTTCACATTATTAAAACAATGTATCGAGGACACGGTAAATTCGTAATTCCTTTATTTTCATATATACACTGCATGTAAATTTAAAAGAAAGTGTGTTGTACGTTGTATCTAAACATTATATAAAAACAACAGATTATCAATAATAAATAATATTATTGAGGTTTAATACTATCTTCTTATCTACCTAAAAACGTAATGTTAATTCATAATTCGTAATATTGATTTTTTTGATTCTATAATTTTGTATTGTTATGTACAATTCGAACCTATTCTTATTCTTCCATTCGGAGGTAATCAAAAATTTAGGCCATATCAAGCCAGAAGTGTTGCTTTCTGTATATAACCTATATTTAAGAACGAATGTTATACCCACAACGTGGAAAACAGCGAATTTAATGATAATACCTAAAACACTAGACGGGGATAAGCAACAGCTGAGCGCTTATAGGCCTATCGCGCTTTTGCCGGTTACAAGCAAAATCTTTGAGAGAATTTTGGATGACAGAATTCAGGTTAGTTGCATTGAACAAAATTTAACGAGCGAAGAACAGTATGGTTTTAAAAAAGGTTTTAGCACAGAAGGTGTTTTTTTTTAATTTAAGGAGGAAATAGCTTTCACAAATAAAAAGTATGTTCTTGCCCTGTTTGTGGACACAGTGGGTGCTTTTGACCACCTTGGTGGCCGGAGATTAAAGCGTGGCTGGTTCAATCCAATTGCAGTTCAACTCTAGTTAATTTAGTTTGCACTTACTTCAGGAAACGAATAATAGTAATAAGAACAAAGCACCAAAAAATTAGTCATCGGGTGCAAAGAGGATGCCCCCAAGGGTCCATTCTTGGACCAGACGCCTGGAACTGGTGCTTGGAGCAATTTCTGGGGCAAATATCTAATACCGTAGAAGCAGATAATGTTCAGGTCTTAGCATATGCTGATGACATTCTCTTTGTCATCAAGGGAAATTCCAGAGTAGAGCTTGAATGGCATGGGAGCATTGTCATGACGATGCTGCAGGATTGGTGCCACGAGAATAAGCTGGCTGTCTCAAAGAAGAAAATAGTGGCGGTTTTCCTCAGGGGTAAAATAGACGTTAGGAGACCATGATCAATTAAGATCAACCAAAATACGGTTAGACATACACACGAATACAAATATCTTGGCATAACTATAGACTCAAAATTAAATTTCATATCACATGTAAAAAGATTGAGCGAAAAATTTACCATAAGTTAAATAACATAAATGGAAGTAGTGGGTCCGCCTCCACGTGGGAGGCACGGTAACGTCGGGTGCAAACTCGGCGGCCAAGTGACCCAATGTATATTTTTAACATGAGTAATAACATAACGACGAATGATTTTCTACTAACAAGCTAATAAGAATTGGATTGCTATCCTACAAAAATTGGAACATACATATTCACTTCACACATATCAACATGGCCATTCACAGATTTTTCACAACCCCAAAAGTAACAACTCAATCTTCCCCAAGTGAAACATTCTCCCTCCATGAAATATCAAAAAATACCACACTTCGTTTTACAGTCCAATCTTCCAGTTTCTCGCCGTGTTACGTTCAACTGTCGACCACGTTTTAACCTCGCGGAGGGTCCCATAATTCTTTTCCCTGAGTCATGCATAACTCATCGATCACGTAAATGACGTGCATCATGAACATCGGCAATTGCACGGTCGCTTATCCACTGTAATAACTTTTTCTCCGGCACAAATGTACGCGCAAGTATCACTAACGATAAGTATAACATATAGAACGGAGAAATAAAGGATGAGGCGGAAGATCAAAGGCATGCTACGACGTTCGATCGTTTTTCGGATTGATAGGTTCTACAATACCATTCGTGAAATTTCAAATTGTCCCGTCAGATCACTATTTTACTATGAGCTTGAAATATCGTCAAGACGTTTCCGTTAGATTAGCCAACTTTTTTCTGTATGTCGTCGGCTTCTGGTTCGCCGCTAATCGTATAGAGGAATGGTTCAGAAACGCGGCGATTCTGTATACCATTGTCACGGTCTTCTTTGTCATGTGGCTTCAGCTGGGAGGGCTTTATTTCGCCTGGGGAAACTTTGAAGTAAGTGGGTTGTCGTTGACGTTTCGTCGAGCGTTCATTTGTTAAGATTGGATAATAATGAGTTAGGTTTAAGGTTGATATTTTTGGATGAACAGTTTTATGCACAGTATTTTTTTTTTAGAACTTTGTTTCCGTAGTTTTTGATTACTGTTTTGTTGAAATGAGCTGGAATTGTTCGTGAGTGTTGTTATTAAAGTGTGAATGTTAATTAAAGTATGTCCAAATATGCAAATGGAATGTGAGAATATTTGATAAACATTTTTTAAGCGTGGTGCTTTATTTTTACAATAGTGCTTTGTTAGTTTCTGTTTATTATACTGTGTTGAAGTAAGTGGTAATTCTTGGTAAGCAATGTTAGTAGAGTGTGAATGAAAATATGTGAAATATGAAAATGTAATTTGTGAACATATGCAAGAAATATGTGGATATGTAATAAGTATATTGAAAACTTGAATATTGAAAATATGCCATAATAATGGTACCTTTATTATTTAGACATCGCGATTATAATTTAAATTACAGTAAAATATATGCATTTTTTTCTATATTAGCTGTAAAATTAAAATTAATTGATAGACGGAAAATGTATGATATATGTTATAATACTATGATAAACTTTTGCATATGTTCTTAAAAAACAAATTATACGTCTAATTTCTATTTCTACAGGTTTGCATGTACATGGCTGGCAACGGTTTAGCCATGGTTTTGGATATAATCAAGATTTTCACCCTAGTCGTACACAAGAAAAAGTTTCTCGGTCTGATTGAGTACATGCAGAAGAATTTTTGGCATTTGAACTACGATCAGTACGAGAATTCTGTTTTGGCACAGGCGAAACGAATGTGCATTTACTTCGTGTGCGTTTTGTCATTTTTTTCTCAATCTTCAGTTCTTTCCTATATCATAAGGCCACTTGTATGTAAGTCTCAAGTGAAATAGTAATATTTAACGACAATCTTTGTATTACTTTTCTAACATTTTGTTAAACATTCTCGAAGACTTCTGTAGTTGTTAATTAACGATACAAAAAATCATGCTTAATTGAAAAAGATTTAAATAGCAGTAATTTAATGGGAATTTTATTTTAGCAAATCTTGGAAAGAATGAATCGGATAGAGAACATATATTCGATATGTGGTTCGATCTACCATTATCCGTAACACCATATTATGAAATTACTTACATAATACAGGTATTACCAATTTTCTCAAGGGAAACAATATTTATATATTAACATTATTATAGACAGAAAAATTTTTATTGCGAATAATAAGATAGAAGTAAGAACAGTGTAATTTACAGTTGCAAGATAATTTAGCAATATTTTTAAAAATAATTAAAAATAACTTAAAAAGCAAATCTAATTAATTAGTAACCAAATCTAATGACTAAATTCTAA